TCTTGTAGAATCATTAAATCAATCTATTGGCCATAAGCCAAGTATTTGAAGCCTTCTTTGCGGTCACCAAGAGGGATTACAAGGATTGGGTTTTGATTATCCTTAATATCCTGTTCAGTAACAATGCCAACACTACTATCAAAGTTTTTACAATCTAAATCCTTATTTACTATTTTATCAATTATGGCATCCCTCTGATTCCTGTCCAAAGGGCTATTGCTGGTGCTGTATCCAAGGAAAGTTCTCCGGCCGAAAGTTGTATTAATTGATTTGTAGGAGACTGACCCATGGACACACAGTACCAGTGCACCGTCTGGGCTCATCAAATTTCCTCCTTTGGTTAATGCTACTGTCCCTGAGCACATCCATTCAGACCATATGGTTCTTATTCAGTCCTTGAATGGCTTATTCAGGCGAAGATCCAATGGCTGTAATAGCGATGTCAGACCCCCCAGGACTCACGCAAAGATCAGTTTTTAATTTTTTGGCCATATTTCTTACTCCATCTGTTAAATGTGCATGGAACAGTTCCCATACTTACATGGAACATTTGTGGAACTGCGCCCCTGGGCAGGGATCCCATATCTTTTGCAGCCAGAGTTTGACGAGATCATCATGGATTCAATCCTTTGGATATGTCTATGCTATCACTTGAGCAATATTTCTACCCCCTCCCTTTTAAAAAAAGGTTTATTCAGAAAACTATGAGCAGCTTTGGTTTTATTCTGCTGGCTAGACCGTGTATAGGTTCTTTCTTGTTCCTTCTGGTGAGAGTAGCTTTGAAACTCAGAGTTAAGATCATAGGTTGTGAATATTCCATCCATTTCTTGGAGACACATAAACTTGTGCTTATACTCTTTACTGTTAGTTAAGGCAGTCTAGCAAAGAATTTTCTGCCCACCATCATCTAAGGTTGGCAAATAATAATGAAAAGTATTGATGATACTCTAGTAATATGTTAGCACCTTCCCTCTAAGGAGGCCCACAAAAAGCTCACTGAAATATTATCTCATTTTTATCCTCATATCTCTATGAAATATATAGAAATTGGTTGTCTCTCATTTTAAGGTAGAGATTCTTTATTTTACCAACTGTCACACAATAATATATGCTTAGTTCAATGTTCTACTCACATTGCTTTCCTATTGTGATTCCTGAAACAAGAAACTGTTTACAGGTAGAAAATGAAAAGTCTATTTAGTATTAAAGGGTGAAATATATTGTTAAAACCTAGATTAGGCTTAGCGACCTACTTGATTCTTGTGACAATGAAAAATTGCTTTTTACTTTGCAAAGTTTGTTATGTGAAGATAAAGCAAAATTAGAGTCAGTATAGAGAGGCAAAGATTTCAACTCTGAAATTAGAAAGACCTAGGCTGAAATGTCGGTTATGCCATGAAATTGCTGTGAAATCTGGGGCTAGTAAGTCTTATTTTTCTCTTCTGTAAATGGAGTTAAAACTGTACCTACCTCATAGTTTTTGTTAATATTAAACAGAATGATGATTGTAAAGTGCTTAGCAATATGTGCCAGGCATAGTGTAAGTACTTTTTTTTTTTTTGAGACGGAGTCTCACTCTGTTGCCCAGGCTGGAGTGCAGTGGCACCGATCTTGGCTTACTGCAACCTCTGCCTCCAGGGTTCAAGTGATTCTCCTGCTTCAGCCTCCCAAGTAGGTAGGACTACAGGCGCCTGCCACCATGCCTGGCTAATTTTTGTATTTTTATTAGAGACAGGGTTTCACTATGTTGGCCAGGCTGGTCTCAAACTCCTGACCTCAGGTGATCTGCCTGACTCGGCCTCCCAAAGTGCTGGGATTACAGGCATGAGCCCATCGTGCCCTGCCGTTAATACTTCTTAAATAGTCATCATCTTTATCATTATTGTTACCAGGATGTCAATTATTTTTAGATGGCAAGTATACAGACTAACCATAGAAAGTTGACCAGATTAACTAAAAATTCCACTTTATCACTAGCTCTTTGCAGGGCTGTTTTGCTTTGGGTCAAAATTCTGAGGTCTGGTTTACTTTCCTAATATTATAGCCCTAAGGGCAAAATCTGCATATGGCAACAGTAAATATGCTTCCTTCCTAAGAAGAAAAAAACTAACAAAAATTCATACAGGAGATAACATGGTCAATATAGTTAGTAAAAGATAAAGAATAAAGAAGTGTTCAGCTCACATGTGTAGTTCTTGTTTTTTCTTAAAAATGTAGGTTGATGGCTGGGCATGGTGATTCATGCCTATAATTCCAGCTCTTTGGGAGGCTACTAAAAAATACAAAAAAATTAGCTGGGCATGGTGGTACACGCCTGTAGTCCCAGCTACTTGGGAGGCTGAGACAGGAGAATCACTTGAACCTGGGAGGTAGGGGTTGCAGTGAGCTGAGATTGAGCCACTGCACTCCAGCTTGGGTGACAGAATGAGACTTTGTCTCAAAAAAAAATGCAGGTTGATTTAGTTTTCTGAAAGCTTCTTTACAAGTTCAAAGTTAATGATAAGGTTATTCTGAGAGTCATCTAGTGCTCTACCCTTTTCCTTTCTAGGAGTCTGCATTTGTAGGTTTTCATTTATTTATTCATTCATTTTAAGACTTATGTCATTCCTAAAACTTTATCTATCTTCCAAGTCTCTGGAAAAACAACAAAGATTTATTTTGTAGATTAGTTTCAGACGGTGATATCCCATATATTGACCTTATGATAGTACACTCTTATGTTGTGAATATAAATGACCCCTTGACATATAAACTTTGCCATACTTATAAGGTTCTTAATAGTTTTTCATGGAGGCCATGGGTTATGGAAGTATGTCAGAAGCTGGCAAAGGTCCAAAGACAGGGTAAGGAGCAGGCAAGGGGCTTTTTAAGCCCGAGTATTTCCATTTTTTTCAAATGTATATATATATTAGAATTCTACGGACTTCATTGAAAGAAAGGGTTTATGGATCAAAAAGTTGATGAAGAAGTAACCTAGATGAAAAATGTGAATCTTTAGATCAAATATATTTTGCCCCATTTTATTCACTTTCTCTTGTCTATGATCATTCTTATTTGTGCTTAGAAGTAATTGTATTTCCCCTCTATTTGCTTATTTAAATTTGAATTCAATACTGTTAGTCTTAATATTGTCTGAGAGTATTTCTAAGTATCCCTCAAATTGTTCATAATTTCCAATAAATATATCATCTCTATCATATATATGCATATATATGGTATAACATATGACATTTGAGGGCCCTGCTATTAAGCACAAATTATTGGTATTAAATATGTATTTACAAAATAATTTGTTGGTGGAGCTGAGCTACATGTTCTCAGATAGCCACTACTAGTGGTTTACTGTGGAACATGAACTTGATCACAAGAATAATAAATCAATGGCAATAAAAAAACAGATTCTCCCTGTGACTTTCCCTCTTTATGGCTGTGTATTTCTGCTAAGTAGAGATTGAGGTAAATTGACAAAAATTGACAACAATTATTCGTTCCAAAATAAATATAGATTGTTGTTTCAAGAATGCATTCCTAATATTTTCTATTGCTTTAGTGAAAAATAATAGAAGGAATTCTTGGTAGTGCATGAATTTCTCTGTATTTTTATTGGCTACTTATAAAATGTGAAAAAAAACCCATAAATCCTTTTTAAATTACCCTCTCAACTCATATATTTAGCATAATTTACCAACATTTCCAAACTTAGCATGGAAAAGCCATCAACATGGCACTAGGTCATGGGTCCTGAATGAAGCCGTCAGCAAGGATTAATAAACTGTGACAGCTGCCCAAAAGCTTTCATTCTTTTTATTTAAACATCAGATTGCAAGCTGAAACTCAGTGTAATCCTTGTTGAAACTAGCCCAGCTAACATGGAAGAAGTCACAACTGAGAACAGATGACAGTAATAGTTATTGCAAATTCAGTCAATAGAAATAAATTCTAGCATTTAAATTTACATAAATAGCAATTCCTAGAAAATGTTAAGAGTAGCACACAAATTATTACTATATGTTTCAACAACTGTTGTTGTTTTTCCTCTTTTTAGAGACAAGGTTACTCACTTTGTTGCATAGGAAGGACTTGAAATTGTAGGCTTGAGTGGTCCTCCCACCTCAGCCTTCCACTTAGCTGGGGCTACAGGGCCTGTAGTCCCTTAGCTGGGCCACTGTGCCTAGCATGTTTAAAAAAGTCTTAATAATTATATTTTTGAAAACTAGATTGATGAAAAAATTATTTAGCTCCAGTTTCTATGCTCAATAAATTATTTTTTTTCTACTTGTCCCTTCTCTCATACTGCAATCTTAAAGTGACTTTAGGCTGGGTGTCATGGCTCATGCCTATAGTTCCAGCATTTTGGGAGGCTGAGGTGGGTGGATCACTTGAGCCCAGGGGTTCAAGACCAGCCTGGGCAACATGGTGAAACTCTGTCTCTACTAAAAAATACAAAAATTAGCTGGGCATTGTGGCATGCATCTGTAGTCCCAGCTACTCAGGACGCTGAGGTGGGAGGATCGCTTGAGCCCCGGAGGTGGTGGTTGCAGTGAGCCAAGATTGCACCACTGCACTCCAGCCTGAGCAACAAAATGAGACCTTGTCTCAAAAAAAAAAGTGACTTTAGTAACACTATAGTTATAAAGTCTAATTCTGGGTCGCCTAATTTTCCGGGGAATTATTCAGAAAAACTAGACTATGTTATACGGGTAAACAGACTATATTACATAAGAAAAAGATTGCTGTTGCATTACTTTTGGTACCAATATAACATACATATACCAACAGAAAGGTGAAAGTGACCTAAAAGATAGTTACCAACTATAATCTCCTAAATAATATATGTTTACTGATATTAAGATATGACAATTAACCTATTGGTCTAGGAATTAATTATTTTTAAGTAGATTTTAAATGAATATATAAGATTTCCTAGGGGTTGAATATCAGCACCGGCAATTTATCAGTTTTGTATACATGTCAAATGGGTAGTAAATAATTGATCTTACCCCTTTTTCAATATTCCCAGTTTGACACAGTGTCCCCTCAGCTGCCGGAATGCTGTTGGTGACACAGCGGTTGCTTTTGCTGAGGCACCAGAGCTCTCTACACACTTCCTAGGAAAGAAGGCAAAAGCAAGTTGATCAGAAATAGAGTCATGTCCAATTCTTCCATAAAATACACTTAACAGTCACTCTGCATTACTTTCAAAAGAGACCCTGGGTCCCTTTTGCTGCTGAAGCATCAGAGATGAGGATTTTGGAGGAGGTTTTCATGGAAGGTAGGTTATCCATCTTGCAGTATCATTTAAATATTTGTCTTTATAATTCTTATTTTAGCAGATAAAGTGTATCTTAGCTTTTAATATTGATTAGGATCTTTTGATAATAGTGCATAGAAATTTCATTAATACAGATGAATAGGGAGAAAAAATGACTACGTAGAAAAGAAATACACGTTTATTACACTCAAAAATATACCATAGTACAAACTTACCAATTACTAATAAAGTGATGCCAGGTAAATGACTTCTTAGATCTACCATAATATTCAAATATTTAAAACAGAGAAATAGACCACGGGAATGGATAGGAATTTAATGTATGAATTTTTAAATTTTTGAAGTACATTTTGAAGTAATTTTTAATATTTATATATGCCTAAGCACAATCTAGAAATGTTATTTTCAGTACATCAATGTAGCATGCCTCCATGAAGAAGAAACTTGGTTTTGAACAAATGCTGCTGTTTATAGAATGTTTGGGTATGTTGTGTGGAGTTGTCTTGTCTCCCTTCTCACGATTTTCCATTATCCTACCTCAGCATAGGAAAATTACAACACTTATTCTAATATTGGCAATATAAATACTTTTTTGTTAATACTATATTAACATATCAGATTTTAAAATAAGCTATCCAATATTATTCCTACATAAAGTGTTTAAACAGCCCCCAAAAGGCTTACTTTTGAAGAAAACACTCAAATTTTCAGTTTCCTTTTATATATGATCACCAACTACCATCATTACCAATGTTATAAGTTTTTAATTTAAGCTAGAACAACCTAGTATATATTTATAATAAAAATATGATTATCTGAAATGCAAAAGTAAACTAACACATGACATTTAATCCTTTTGCTTTTATTCCTCAACTGATCTTTTAACTGTCAGAACATAATTATGAGAACTCATGTTACAAACGCAATCAGAATTAAGGTGGTGGAATACTGATGTCACTAGTTAACTGGTCCTACAAAGTGCCCCACAGAGTATAACAAATTGAGGGGATCTCTTTGGGTTCCTCTTTAGGGTGCCTCCTACCAGGCAGAGAGGAAACACACAGTGTCTATTAGGCAATTTTTTTTCTTTTTTGAGACAGAATCTTGCTGTGTCACCTGGGCTGGAGTGCAGTGGCATGAGCTCAGCTCACTGCAACCTCCACCTCCTGGGTTCAAGCGATTCTCCAGCTTAGCCTCCCAAGTAGCTGGGACTACAGGTATTAGCCACCAGGCCCGGCTAATTTTTGTATTTTTAGTAGAGATGGGGTTGCACTGTTGGCTAGGCTGGAACTCCTGACCTCGTGATCTGCCTGCCTTGGCCTCCCAAAGCACTGGGATTACAGGTGTAAGCCACCGCACCCAGGCCCTATTAGGCTTTTAAATACCTAAAAATGTTTAAACTCCATTTGGAGAACTAGTGACCTAGGGAGAGAAAAAACATTAGAAAAGAAAAGCATGGGCCAGGCGCAGTGGCTCATGCCTGTAATCCCACACTTTAGGAGGTCGGGGTGGAAGGATCACTTGAACCTAGGAGTTAGGGGCTGCAGGGAACTGTGATTGCACCATTGCTCTACACCCTGGATGACAGAATAAGGCTCTGTCTCAAAAAAAAAAAAAAAAAAAAAAAAAAAAACCAAAAAAAAAAAAAAAAAAGAAAAAGAAAAAAGAAAAGCATGTACTGTGGATCATAATATAAACATTAAATGTTCTCATCTTTATAATCCAATTTATTACGAATTCACTTTTGTTTCAAAGCTTTAGCTTCTTATTTATACTACTTTATTCTTTTTCTATAGAAGATGATTTTTTAAACCTGCACATGTATCCCAGAACTCAAAGTAAAATAATAAAAAAAGAAGTTGGTTTTTTTAGTTTATATTCCTTAATATGTTCTTGTAGTTTAATATTTAAAGAGCAGTGGGAGTGGCCGGACATGGTGGCTCATGCCTGTAATCCCAACACTTTGAGAGGCCAAGGTGGGTGGATCACAAGGTCAAGAGATTGAGACTATCCTGGCCAACACAGTGAAACTCCACCTCTACTAAAAATACAAAAAATTAGCCAGGCAGGGTGGTGCACGTCTGTAATCCCAGCTACTTGGTAGGCTCAGGCAGGAGAATCATTGAACATGGGAGGGGGAGGTTACAGTGAGCCGAGATCGTGCCACTGCACTCCAGCCCGGTGACAGAGCTAGACTCTTTCTCAAAAACAACAACAACAACAACAAAAAAAAACCAGCAGGAGTAACATTTAGGGCTTTGAAATATTGTCCTATGTATCAAATATCTATCCAAATTCATGGAAAAATGTCTTCGTAAAAACAGAAAAGCATTAATAGAGATTAATATAGAGATGATAAAAAAGTTTCATCCATAGTCCTGGATGATACTCCTGATCTTTTGTGATCTTTATTATAGGTTGAAATCTTACTTTAGACACAGGTAAAAGAAAACTGAAATTTACTTTAGACAGAACTATGCAATGAAAGTTCTATTATTGAAAAGGACAATACTTACCACATCTAGCAGGAAACCACACTATTTAGTCAGGTTATGGAAACTTTATTTTCCAAAAGTGCCTTGAAAATCTTTATCCAAAGTAGCAAGTGCTTAAGAAACTTTTTCAAAACCTTAATCTCAAGATTCACAGTGAAGCCCTCTTATCTTTTAGAGAATGATGCATTTTGAAAACTAGATACCCATTTCTAATGGATTTTGGTATCTTGGTGGACTCCTGGGGATTCAAATTTTGCTACCACATCAAATTCTTAGAAATCACTGTTTAAAGTATGGGAGTGGAATTCTATGTTGAGAAACACTCACAAAATGTATAACTAGTCATGGAGAAGGCTCTGAAGAGTTTTCAAATAGATCTTGCTATTGGACTCTCAACTTGAATAAGAAAGATACTGATATCCAATTTAGGAAAGTTTCCCAAGATTTTTTTTTCAAAGGATACTCTCTTGAAAGATAAAAAGCAAGAAAATTTCATTTCATATGAAGTGAAAAAGAAGTATTCTTCCTGAATGAAACTGAGAACAATTCCACACTTTCAGAAATACAGTTCTTTCTCTAAACTGCGGAATCCTAGACCATGGATGATATATTTGCATAGGTATATAAGTTTCATTTGCACATGCATATTACCTGCTGAATAAGGAGCCTAACTCTAGGTTCTAATAAAGTTCCAGTCTCTAATATAGTTAAATGCAGGCTGAAATTTTTTGCCTCTTGGGTAACTTGCATGGCAACCATCATAGTAGGCAGATTTCCCTAAATAAAATATTAGAGGTGCTGAAGTATAGTAAGAAATAATGATTTCTTTTCTTTCTTTTTTTTAACTATCCATCAGCTTATCTCTAGTTCTCTTTCACATACTCATGATTCCTGATAGAAGTTAAGATTTATTATGATTAGTTTCTTAACCTTTATGAATTAGCAAATCATCGCCTGTGTGTTAAAATCCCCTTGATAATCCTAAATTTTGTTTTGGGAAGACTCTGTAGGGGAAATTTGGGTCTTTGTGCTTGCTCTTGAGCTTAAGGAAGGAGAGGGAAGTTATCCACAGACCCCACTAAAGGACGTTTCTGTTATATGACACTGGAAATTTGAATTGGAATCTATAATGTTACAGGGTCAACTAATCAGCTAGGAGGAATGCCTGGCAATACAAAAGTAATAGCATTTTCCCAACTCATTCCAGAATATTTATCAAGGATCTGCTATGCATCAGGCATTATGTTAGTTTTATAAAAAAATAAATAAATAAATAACAATCACTTAGAATTCATGGGAATTTCAGAGGAAAAGGTAGGTTACAGTCAGACACGTAGCCCAAATGCCACGAACTGGTATTGCTCTATGATAGAGTTTTTAATATTCTTTGACAAAATTAGAAGGATGATGTCAATGTGAATACGTGTTTGCTTTGTTTTGTTTTGGGGTCTCACTGTAACCTTGACCTCCTGGGCTGAAGAGATCTTCCTGCCTCAGTCTTCCAAAGCATTGGGATTGTAGGTGCTAGCTATCTTACAAAGCCTGGACAGGTTATTATTATTTTTTTTTAATATAAAACTCATGTTTTTATTTTAATGGACTGTCCTTATTTGTTAAGTTCTATTCTTTTTACTTTGTGTTACAGTAGACTGTACAATTCCCAATTGTACATTCTACAATGCTTATGGTAGGCTTTGCAAAATGTTCCTTCTTGGCAAAATTAAGAGTTGGCATCTCTATCCTTGTCTGCCAGTTTTTAGAGGGAAAATTTCCTTGCCTACAAAAGCCTAAAAGTTTCTGAACGACCCACTGCCCAAGACATCTAAAACATTTTTTTATTTCAATAACATTGAGGTACAAGTGGTTTTTTGTTACATGGATGAATTATATTGTGGTGAATTCTGAGATTTTAGTGCACCTGTCACCTGAGTGGTGTACTTTGTACCTAACATGTAGTTTTTTTCTCCCTAGACCCTTCTCACTCTCCACTTGAGTCTCTTATATCACTCTGTCCATTACATCACTCTGTATGCCTCTGTATACTCATAGCTTAGGTCCCACTTGTAAGTGTGAACATACATTGTTTGGTTTTCCACTCCTGAGTTACTTCACTTAGAATAATGGCCTCCAGCTCCATCCAAGTTACTGCAAAATACATATTTTTATCCTTTTAATGGCAAAGTAGCATTCTACAAGGTGTATATACCACAGTTCTTTATCCACTCATTAGTTGATGGGCACTTAGGTTGATTCCACATCTTTGCAATTGTGAATTGTGCTGCTATAAATATATGTGTCCAAGAGTCTTTTTCATATAATGACTTCTTTTCCTTTGGGTAGA